CGTGGTACGAGAATCATAAACAGGGGATTTTGAGAAATCTAAAAAGAAGACACAAACCTTGAGTACTTGATGAGATTCAAAGGAGAAGACACAAAAGATAACGCGAAATCAAAATCTGAGAAATCAAAATCAAAATGAATATCAGGTTTTGGGAGGATTCTAACTATATGTCCTGTTTCTTTTCTTTTTTCTTTTTTTTTCAATATACAGGCGCTTTTCAGGTGCCGGAAATGAATAACATTTCCAAATGCATAAATAAAACGCCCAAAAAGCATTCTACCCCAAGTTAAGATTTCCAGCACACAGTGAGCGCCTGCAATAAAGTGCAGGTAAATCCTGAAATTCTTGTAGTGTTATGTATGTTTGTTTACATGAGCGGGATGATTTTTTTTTTTTTTTTTTTTAACAGATTAAAATCAATAATATATATTAGTTGATGTGGTAATATTCTAGTGTTAGTGGAGAAACTCGAACGATTGAAGAGGGCGCAATTTACCGATCACTCATTTAAGTAGTAGTGGTCATCATTGGACCAGAACAAAGGAATGCTACATGTGCACGATGATTAACAAAGCATGATATTAATTAATAGATTAAAATGAATAATATATATTAATATTTTAAAACATTATGAATAATTATTTTAAAAAATGTTAAAATTTATATGTTCTTGTAAAAGCATTGGATAAATGTCAAGGATCAAGAAGTTTAAATGCTGTCCGTGATGAAATTTGAATATTAAGGGTTGATTGCGTCTTGCTATTATCTTGGAGATCAATTGTTGGATTCTTGTCAGAGTCAATTAATTCTGATTTACTATGATTTTGAAAATTAAATGCCTTGCTTGAATCATATTGCCTTGAATCACAGACAGCATTTAAACAAAATGATCTTTGACATTTATCAAATACTTTTACAGCTTTTAACAATATGATATGTAGTATTTATGAGCGGATGAGAGGGGATTCTTTTAATTTAACTAGAGATCTTGATTTTAAGTCTTGAAAATATAATTTTATTAAAATTCATGAAAGAGAGTTTTCCTACTCATTAGATTCTGTCCGACTCGAATTCAGATTAGTAGGTGGTCCAATGAGTTTTCAAATACCATGTGGTCCATACAAAATAAAAAAAAAAAGATATGTAGTTATAATCCCATTCTATAATACATATTATTTTTAAAATAAGAGTTTGTTTGGTTTTGAGAGAGAAGATTTTAAATATATTATTTTTGGTAAAAAATAATTATTTTTAATAAATATGAATAAATTTTAACTATTGGAAGTGAAAAGATAAGAGTTTGTTTGGTTTTGAGAGAGAAGATTTTAAATATATTATTTTTGGTAAAAAATAATTATTTTTAATAAATGTAAATAAATTTTAACTATTAGAAATGAAGAGATAAATAATTAAAATT